GAATGCTTCGTGAAACTTTTCGCGAAAGCAGCTGGTGAACAATGTGTGTTGTCTAGTCGGCGAACAATTCAACTGAAAGACGTCGGTCGGTGTTTCATTATATATTGTTCTTATCATTCAACGCTCGTTCAAGAGATCCATGCTTCAAGTCACAAGATTTAATATAGTATGTCCAGGAGAGATTCCGAGTATTGGTTTCCGGGTAATGCTGATCAGTTGAATGGTTCATTCTGCATGACTGGATATCGTATTATTGAGTTTACCACTTCAAGGTGTATAAGAGAGAGGTAATTTTGCAGAAAGCGCAATAGAAGCATATCCAGAGTTCGAGTTTCTTGAAGGTACTCTGGACGGATGGCCTGAGCCGACTACAGCTCGTCGCAAGCATCCGACCTCCGATGCCAGGGAAGAATCCAAAGAGAATGAGCCGGATTCCCAACCAGAGCCGAAAATTGTCGAAAATTCCGAAGATGGCGAAAAACTTGAACATGATGAAGTTTTAGTTGAAAACCATGATGATATAATGGAATCTTAGTTCATGAAGTTCTATGTTCATTGCGTTCAGTATGTGCAAACTTGTAGTATATATCAAGATCTTATGTCTGCACCAACCTGCAATTGCTTCATTTTACATGTTGTTTTCCTAGCCTACATAAGATCTTCCTCAAACTCTAGCTTACATACTTATGATTGACTGCCATTTTACTTGGTACGAGTGTAATTTTCCAATATTTCACCGAGATTGCTCAAAATCAGAGTTGACCAAATTTCCATCCGTTTTTGCTTTTCATCTCCTCTGATTCACCTTCATTCACTTCACGTTTTACACTAAACATGCATAGTATCCTTTCTGGTTTCGGTGCATTTTCAATTGTACATATATGATGTTTATTTCGTGAAATTGATAAATTATTTATTTGAAACCGATAGTTAATGAAACGCGTAATGAGTACAAGACAAAATTGATCAAAAAGCCGTGAATTTAAACAGCGTAAAACATAAAGTTGGATATCAACAGAACTGAACTTATTTGTAACTTTTCTAAGAATAACAATATGCTTCATGACGATGCGACGACGGTAATGATGGATGGCGCATCGTTTCATCAGAGTGAATTACTTCAGAAACAATTTCAGACGTTGAAGATGC